CGGTGACCGGACAAAAGCTTACTAAGCCTGTTGAGAAGAAACCGCCGGCGAATTTAAATCGCCTCGATCCGGTCACTCATGTTGTCCATGGAGTTAGAGAACGTGAGTTTTGTGATTATGATCTAAATTCTTTAAGTGCGTAACTTCTGTTTGCTATTATTACGATTTCAGTTTATGCAGAATGTGCACATTGCTTGTATAATTGAATTGAGTTTAAGTTCTCTTCACTAATGGTGTAAAATGTATTTACAATATCAGCTCACTTATTAGGCAATTACAAATAAATCTCTTAAGGTAATACTATTGCAGGTTAAATTTCACTGATGGTGCAAATTCTTTTTACCCTATCAGTATATAACCTAAATCCAATTGAAGTTTACTTACATTCTATATGAAAATGCCCCTGATACAGTGATATAAAAGTTGAATGATTTACAGAGTCCATAGGCTGCTTAAACTATGCATGTCTGCAATATTTGACCAAGTATCCAATTTGAAGCTCTTAATGTTTCTGATTTGTGCTACAAAGAGATGACATATGTGCTAGGCATAAGGGCAATGATAAAAATCTGGTCTTTATGAGCTCAGATGCTTTATTCAGGATCTTCCACTCCCAATTGATTTCCCTTGAACTTTCCAGACGAGGGCTATTAGTTGGGAGTTCCGATATTGGTCAATATGGGTCTTTAATGGTGTTACTATGTATTGCTATAAGCGCTTCTTCCATCTTCTTTAGTCGAGGGTCTATCGGAAACAGTCTCTCTGCCCTCCCAGGGTGGGGGTAAGGCTGCGTACATCCTACCCTCCCCAGACTCCACTTGTGTAATTTCACTGGGTTGTTGTTGTTGATGTTGTTGTTTAATGGTGTTACTTAGCGAACTGCTTGCGAGCTAAGTTGCAAGGACTTATCATTTATGGTGTCGCACCCATGTCGACATGACACCAATACTAGTATGGGTGTGGGATACGTTCCGGATCTGGTCAATCAACATTGGTACTTTGACCATAAATTACGGAGAAATTAAAAATAAGATTTGGCATTTTGATTTCTCAAGACAAAAGCTAATGTAGATATCTAGATGACTATCTACGACTTGATAATAAAAGATTGAGTTAATGAACTCTACGCGCGACATGCAAGTTTTCCACAATGTCTCATAATTTAGGCATATTTTTGTAGATCTATTTTTAGATATAGCCGAATCCGCCCACCCGTATCCGTACCTAGATTCATAAACCCGAATCTTAAAATTTGGATCACATAGGATCTGGCCTCTAGAGCGACACCCGTATCGGATACTCGCACCCGAGTCTGAGCAACTTAGCTTGCGAGTGACACTTGTTTATTCATCTAGAGTTTCCTTGTAAATGCTTCCTTTCAGTTGTCCCATAAATTTGACCTCTTTCCCTAAATGACAAAGTCATTAGTCATCTATTTTAAAAAACCAAGTTAACGCATAATACTACTGATACTGGGAGTTATTATACGAGTATCTAAGATAGAGGAGGAATCTTAAAGCTGGTGCAAAAGTGATCTAGCTGACATATGTGACAGATCATTTGGCTTTTCTTCAAGTAAAACTATGGTATTCAGCATTCCTTTGTGGTTTATTACACAGCGATTTTGTTTATGTACAAGAAATTTTGAAATGCTTGTCAAAGTGGATATGTTTTTTTTGACCCATCGTCTTCAACAATGTGCAACAAATCATACATCTCGCAGCCTGCTTGAAGCTACTACCAGCTGAAGAGCTTGAGCATCTGGATTTTCCCATGGATAAAGTACCTGCTGATCCTATTAAACGGGTGGTATACATCACAGAGGCAAATCCTGCTTATGATGATGAGAATATGCCACTTGAGCAACACCCGGAGGCCACAAGATTTAATTTATTCACAGGAAACCAAACTCTCAAGCAAAGGGATGAAAGTTTTAAGGTTGTCGACCTGCATCTTGCTTTTGGTGATTACCTATTTACCTATGAACTAATTTATGTATCTCTGTCTTTCTTTTTCTTTTGACAATTTGCTTAAGCATTATCTCTCAGGTGAAAGGAGAGGCTTCTATCCACTGTGGTTTTTACAGTGATAAAGGAGGCTTTAGGATTTCTGTTGAAGATAGAAGTTATATGGAATCCTGCAAAGCTGTGGTGTCGACTTGTGCATTTGGTGGTGGAGATGATCTCTATCAACCTATAGGAATATCTGAGTCATCTCTCAAGAAGGTTATCTTTTGGGATTGTTAATGCTTATGAGTGCTTTTCAATCTTTAGTTGACACGATGTGCGATTACAGTTGCAATCGCAAAGTAGTTGGGTTGGAGTGTTGGAGAATTAATTGATGCAGGACACATTAGTTTACTCAATGTTTTTGGAATTAAATGATGCAGGTTTGCTTTGTGGCTTTTTGGGATGAAATTACACTTGCATCACAAGAGGCAGATGGCCATAAAGTTGGCGATGACCGTTATATCGGAAAATGGCGCATTATCCTTGTTAAGGATCTACCTTTCCGAGACCAAAGGTTGAATGGTAAAATCCCAAAGGTATGCTTATTGTCTAATTCCTCGATTTCTTGTATGCTTTTGTATTTTACAATGAAAATATCCTAATACTTAAAGTGAAGCTTCTGTTAATCTCGCCCTACTACCGATAACAAGATTCTTCTCCACGATGCGTCGAGAAATAATGGTGCCTTACAAAGTAGAAGTGCTATAAAGCAAATCAGATTGATGATCCAATTTTGAAGATTAATAATGTCGGGAAAACCAAATTTAGTCGCCTTTTGATGCTTTCTTTTAAGATTTAATAATTGGATTTTTGGACCATGTATCATTTTGGAGGAGAACATCCATCATCTCACCTGAATACTCTCCAACTGCTTGATTTTCCATTTTTTGTCTCTGTACCTGGGCTCCCCATTGTAGCAATAACAGCAGAAATTGCATTATTTAGTTGATGATAGCATCTGAAGTTCATGTGCCTTTATTGTCATTGATCTAGTTGGTAAAAGTTGTACAAAGTATAACTGTATAATGTGGCAGCAACTCATAGTCTCCAATTGTGGATTTCAGGATATTGACCAAAAAAGTAGTTTTCAGGATGTTTGTGCTAGGGTATTGATGTTTTTTGTCCAATATTTAGTCCACAATACTCTCTCACAATACATTTTCAAGTTCTTATATTTATCCCTTTGAAATTGTTAAAATAATAGGTTTATGTGAATGTGTACATTTTTTCTTGCTAGCTGTTTTATAAGGATTTAATTCATGTCTAAATTAATCAGATGCTGGCCCATCGTCTCTTTCCGAATGCTAGATATTCCATTTGGGTAGATTCGAAATCCCAACTTAGGAGGGATCCATTGGGTGTATTGGAAGCTTTGCTTTGGCATTCAAACTCTGTACTAGCAATCTCAGAACATGGGGCTCGGAGTAGCGTGTATGATGAGGCAAAGGCTGTTGTCAAGAAAAACAAAGCCACCCCAGAGGAAGTGGAGGTGCAGTTAGCTCAGTACCATCAAGATGGCCTCCCTGAGGATAAGAGATTCAATGGGAAGAAAGGTAGGATTTTTCATTTCCCTTGTCAGCTGGGGATGGGCTTACCATAATTGTTATCCACTGCATAATCATCTTAAAAATGTACCTCAATTCCACAAAAGAGACAATCCTTATCCTCCCAAGTAGATAAGTCATTCTCACAGTCAATTTATCTGTTGCAGCTCTAGCTGAGGCTTCAATTATTGTGAGAGAGCACACTCCATCAACTAATCTGTTCATGTGCCTATGGTTCAATGAGGTGGTTCGTTTTACATCCCGTGATCAACTGAGTTTTCCATACGTCCTTTGGCGGTTCAAAGAGTTTAGGAATATCAACATGTTCCCTGTTTGTACACGTAAAGATCTGGTTAATAGCATGGGTCACATAAGAAAAGCGAAGCCTCTAACAAGTTGATGTATATTCGTGGTTTGCACGAGAAAGGTAGCCGAAACAAGAATGTTCAGGTCTTTCTCCAAGGTTCGAGCATATTGCTTCCTCTATTATGTGTGCTGATGACATTGGATAGAGAGATCGGATAGGATTAGCATATTCCTATTTATTCTTCAAAATTCAGAGGGCACTGTTTTTGCAGCCCTGAATGGATAGGGAGAGGCCGAGAGGGTTTCATCAATGGGAAGAAGAGGAGAGCAGTGAATATGTTGTGTATTTAAACAGAGTGGAAGGTCTTTTATTGATTTATAATTCTTTTATCATCACTTTTGAACAAAGTGGCGTTGTTTGGAAGTTTTTTTTTTAAATCAATTTATAATTCTTTTCATCACTTATTTTCTGGAAATGCTAAATTTGTTGGGTATTCTGCCAGAGTTCGCAGTCTATTGTGTTAATATTGAGGCGTGTTAACAAATGTAAAGCACCTAGTTTAGCTCTCTTGGATTAGTGCAGGATTTGCTCAATAATAATGGTGATGTCAAGACTAAAAATACTAAAATGCTTAAGTCATTATGCAGTCAAACCTTTCTATAATATCCTCGTTTGTTTCGGATATTTTTGGATGTTATAGCGAATCGTTGTTACAGAAAACATATATTATAATAAAACATGAAGTGGTGTTATATAAGATGCTGTTATAGAGAGGTCTGACTACATTGTATTCGATCGTTGTCTTCGGTTTATTGTATTCGATCTTTGTCTTCGGTTACTTGATTGTAGGTGAAAAATTACTTACTATATTGAGCCTAGACTAAAATTTCTAATAAGCAATCTCTCTAGTGTAGTGTTGTAAACTACTCAAGTTAACTCTCGATACTATTCTCTTGTTTAAAACGATTCTGTCAATGAGGAAGCCATCAGCCTCCGTCAGTATTGACCATAAAATTATGCATACTATATTTCCCACTGTTCTTTTATGTTGAAGTCTTGGAAAAAGAATTCACCATTCAAAGGAATCGTAATATATACAAAGGCAATTCTTTTTTACTGACTCGGAATAATATACAAAGAAATATGAATAAATTTTTATTGAATTGTTACAAATTGAAAGAATATTTAACAAAAAGGTCATATATAAGAAGTCCTAATTGTTGACTAGTATACAGTTCTATTTTGCTTGCAAATTTTCTTGCTCTATACATATATATAGTTCTCCACCTAAAGGTATCAAAAGGTAGATTTTCTTAGTTGCCAGCCTTTGTGGTAGTGATAGCAATTCTAGAAAGAATGAATACACAAATGGAGGAAACAAACACAGCTCCAGCAAAACAAGCTAGATCCAGTCCATTAACCACAGGAACATTCTTGAATTTCTCCAATACTCCAACTTGAAGTAGCATTATTAGTGCATGTCCTATTCTTGATTTGGCTTGCATCACTGATTTCATTCCCATTATTGATGGAAGTGTCTGAAAGGTAGACAAGTTTTGACCTGACCTTTGATCTCCTTTAACATTGTTTCTTGATCCCACAAACATGACATACAATCCCATTCCAAAAGTAAGCATAACAGTCCCTAAAAGAAACATATCTGAAAGAAAAAATAGAACGAACATTGTTCGTTAAGAGTTAATTCTAATTTGGTATTGTAAATTATTTGCTATAACCGGTTAAAATACATTGATAGCGTAAAAAGATTAATAAAGACAGGAAAATAATACTTACCTATAGCTTCGACCAATAGCTGCACGACATGTCCGAGGTCTGACTTCTGTGAGAGTGCGATAAAATAGTGGAAGTATGACTCTACCACTAGGTAACAGCCCTGCAATAACGAGGATGTTTATGTATTAGCCTTAAAATTGTAAAACTCAATTATTTCTTCCTGATGATACAAGTAAATAGAAACAACATAATCATAAATAATAATAATAATAATAATAATAATAATAATAATAATAATATATATTACCTCAACAAAGCATAATAATGAACCAATCAAAGTCCCTGCAACTGCAAAGAGAGTGAAGAACCGGCAATCCAAAATACCCTGCAAAACAGAATTCCATATATCCACTCAGAAAAAATAAATCTTTAGCATAAGAATATACTTCAATATCTTGGTTTTTTATTCATTTATTTAACAGGAAGTAGGAAATGTCCATCTGGGATTTGGACTTGTGGACAGAAAAAAATATATTCCATATGATAAAATCACACTCATTTTGAAGTCGATAACTTTACACCCTGTATTCATACCTCTACTAGTTAGACGCATATAGGCTGTCACAGAGGCGGATCTAGGATTTTTAGTACATGGGTATACTACTAAAAAATTAGGAAAAAAAATGTATTAAGTGTGAATTGATCCATATTCCTCTTAATAAATAACTCACATTCAACCAGGTGCATCATTCAACCTTCTTGGAACGTGAATGTCAATAGTTAATATTATATACCAATTTAGAAAATATATACATAAAATATCTAATTTTGGGGAAACACCATGGGTTCACGGCCCCATAATTTTGTCTATAAATCCGCCAGGCACGACATTTTATATCCCTATGAGAAAAAGAAAAAATTCCATACCTTCTCGATGAACAACTGTAAATGATGCAACTTGTGCGGCATTCCTTTGAGGAAAGTTTTCAAGTTCTGAAGTATTAGATCTGAGACATTTTCTACTACTAAACCGATATCAGGAAACCAGTTCTGTGTCATTGGTTCGTCAAATGCCAACCTTGACAAGGTGCCTACCCCACCAACATGAGCCTTAGCTGCCACTGGTTTCTTCTCCACATCTCCTCCACCAACATTAATCTTACTACCTTTGTTTAAACATCGTAACCTCAACGAATAATTCTTGAAAGATTTACAAGGTGTTTGTTTCTGAGCATTGTCACCTAACCCCAATTGTTTAGAGGTACGTAACAATCTACCACTGATGGCCATTTTTCAGCTTGTTTAATTTTCTCTTTATTTTTTTTGCTCTTACTTTCTTTCTTCATTGGACCCAAGTATTTATATACAATACACAAAAAGTGCAGAAGATTCGTGGCATATTAGCTAGTATTGTCGTGAAGTAATGTGACCATTGTTTTGGCACTGTTCTCCACTTTTCTTGGAGAGGTTGGTTTTGGTAAGATATTATGAACTTTTCGACAATGTTACATTACAACGTGTAGGGTCATAATCATTCTCTTCCGCACACGTGGCAGTTCGTATCATTCCGCGGACTTCTATTCGTACCGAGAATAAAATTATAGAATTTGGAAAGAGGAATTCCTTTTTGCTTTACGTGGTTGAATTTTAAAACGCAGCTTTGGGCTGTACATCAGCTGTCGCCCCCACGTGCCTTAATTATAGATTGAGGGTCCATGTTAGTTTGATTCGGGGGCGAAGTCCGTGTCTTTGATTATGGTCCGATCGAATTCATTAATTTTGATTCACACTTTATATTTATTTTTAAAAAATTTATTGAATATATACAAATCGTTAAATTAGAATAACATTTTTATAAGCTAAACTTGACACCTTCTATATGGGAAAAGCTCATCAATAATTTTCTTTACGACATTTTTCCCTGTACTATTCATGGGTAAACCCCAAACAAAAGATATTTAGGAAACAAGCTAGCGAAAAAAACAAAAATTGAATGTGTGGCCTATTCATTGGTACCTTCTTTCCACATGATTGAAAAGGTCAGCAGATTTAAACTTGTGACTAGCACGTTTGAATTGGTAGAGACGCGTCTTCTTTTAATCACATGAATTTCCTTACTTTCATCTTTGGGGTAAGTATTCGGAAAGAAGAAGAAAAAATCTTGGGGTAATTAAGCATAAAAACTATGAAGCTGTAAAATTTGTTGAACCAAATTAAACTAAATATTTAGCTCACAAAATGATGGTTTGGGCTTGTTTTTGGGTATCCATAAATGAATAAATAAAGACCTGAATCAACTGTTGTGGCAAAGATAAATAGACAGTCTCTATAAAAATCCTATCTCGCCATTGGATTGTATTTGTTTAGTGAAATTTTTATACATATATAAGATCAGATGTAAAGCTATTGGATTTGAATGTATCAATGACGTTTATATGTATATTTTTAACCATTTCTAAAAATAATAGCCGATAAAATATATATTTTTTTTATGTATAATATATATTTTTATTTACTTTTTGCCTAACGAATGCAACTAATTTTAACCGACCAGTCAATTTTGTATTTTTCCCACGTGTACTCTACAATTTTTCCATCCCCGACTATTTTAGTCCTTGTTTGTATGTTAGTTTGGGTTAGTTGAGCTTGTGGCCCATTAAAGTTTTTTTTAATTTAAAATTTCTCATGAAATTTTTATTTTTACATATAAAAAATTGTAAATAAAACAGATATTTGTAGCACCCTTTTTCTTTTTGTTAAGGGCTTAATATTCCATATAAGGACTCTCTGTACAAATCCAAGCGGAGGGAACAAGAGCTTATGTTTAAGTAACTGAATAGTGAATACTATTAAACCGAACCTACAGATCTGAAAAGAGTAGTGAGTTCGGTAGTAAATGTTCTTTTTGGCGACTTTGGTTTCTCCGAAATATTTCTAGTTTCTTGTCTGCATATCATTTGCTGATTCGAAATTCAGTTCGCAAAATTACCAGCAAACTAACTGTAGACAATAAATTTGCGTCGAGAAAATAAAACCAAGACCGAAAAAATATTGCAACAATCGTAGTATTTTATTTCGAATAATATGAGTGTTACAATCTCTATGATTCCTCTGATTCTTCTTTTCAATAGTAAATAAATTCAAGGGCCTTTGAGCTTGATCTTGAATCTATATTTTCTTCCACGAATGATGATCTTGTTCTTGAGCTTGAGCTTGAGCTTGATTGTTTGAACTTGATCTTGATTCGTTCTTCGTTCTTGAGCTTGAACTTGATTTCTTGAATTTGAACTTGATTGCTTGAAGCTTGAAACTTGTGGAAGAATTTGCAGCGTTTGATCCACGAGCTCTTTCCTGCTTCTTGTTATAACTTCTGGTGTCTTTTCTGAGTTATGAAGACCCCTATTTATAGTTGTGGAAGGGAAGAGTTATGATAAGAACAAACACTTTTCGACCAATCAAATTGAAGTGTGACATGGCCGCATTTGATTGGCCAGAACATGTTACTTGCACAAGTGCTCACGATTTCATTGGCCTTTTAGTGTGACTTGGCATGCCTTGTCATTTTGACATGTGGCACAATCCTATTGGCTCTTCCATTTGACTAGGCGTGCCACGTCATTTGACACGTGTGGCACCAAACTAGGCCTCTAGGAAGATGACATTTTGGGCTTAATAAAGTGGGCTCATCATTTTAGCCCAATTAAATGGGCTAGCCCAATGGATTAAGACTTATTTATTTAATCCATATATATTGGACTTATATAATTAATTCAATTATATTTGCCCGTAGTATTTATTGGACCAATATATCTTGAATTTAAAATATAGTCCAAATTATTTCATGGATTTAATTTTAATAAAATTTATATGCCTACAAATGCCCTCTACTTCAAGACTTGTCGAGTAAATATCTCGAACTTGAAAGACGAGGATTGAAGTATTATGAGACTAATACCCAATTGCCCCCTTTTCAAGGAAATTCACGTTTTCTTTTCCTTTTCAATATGCACCTTTCATGATGAAGAGAGACAATCTTGAATCCAGGTTATAACATTGTAGGATGTATTTTTTTTTTCAACTAATATCTATGAACGTGCGCTACACGTTAATAATGATATGTGATGATTTAAATATTTATTTATATGAAGGAATAATAAAATTTAATTAATGAGAGAAATTTTATGTATAATAATACAATAATCATCTAAATGCCGAAAAATATTACATTAGCATAATACATGAATTTAAAATAAAAGCACATCATCAAAACTAACAGAAACGATCAATCTTGTCATGTTAGTTAGATAATTATATATTATAGTTTAAAAGCATTTAGTATGATGATATCTTAACGAACACTTCTTTGTGGACAATATTTTTTTTTGTATGTTTCCTCTTAATGCGTTGGTTGCTCTGCCTTAACCAGAACTCTTGTTGTCGATCTTGATATCCCTCTTGAAAGTGCAACATACAGTTATACGTGCAAGAAAACATATTACGGTAAATATAGTCCAATATTTAAGATGTTTGTCCTTATGCTTTATTTATTAGTGCAAAACATAAACATACTAAAAATTATTTACACACAAATTTAAATGGATATTCCTTAGTTTCGGAAGACGAAAGTTAAATTCATGGATAAGAATATACTTAGAAGCACACTAACCAGTATCATAATTATTGCATCTATTACGTTATTGTCAAAAATTTTATATACCATGTGTGCTATTACATAAGCTATTCGGCGTATCTAAGTTTTTCAGTAGCATGACGGGCATATTTTTTCTTCAAAATTAACCTATATACAATGGAAGATCAATTTTAACTTAGTATATTATATATACGGTGACACTAACATACGTAAGAAATAAGAAACTTGACAACAAACATATATGGTAGAAGACCATTTGGTATTAAAGTATTTAAGTATTCTTCTTGGTAGAATTATTGGTATCATTTTCTGCTGAGTCAAATACTGAAAAATATTTTATTTTTACTATAAAATTTTGCAACCAACCTTTTATTTAGTTGATCAACATATTCGTTTCTGCTAGCTAATATATCTTTTTAATTCTATCATGCGATTTGCACAAAATCTAATGACAGAAATATTTCTCTTATTAAATGCACTACTATTACCATTGGGATTGATAACCAAGTATTCATGAAGAACCAAATAATATTTTATTGGATGCTTTTCTTCGTTTCTGACACGAAGCAAGAATATTGGATATGTTCTTACTTTATATTTCTTGTCAGTTGAATCTTTTTCGTTTGAGGCCAGAAGTATAACTTTGGCAAGCTAGCTTTTACGGTCTCATCTTTTATCGATTTTGGAACTCCTGGTACTACTTGACAGAAATCACCTCCCAAACCATTATTTTTTCACCAAACGCTTCATTAATATCCAATATATCTCTAGAACTCCGAGCAATTATTTCGATCATTTGACACTTAGCCATAAGTGATTCATCCCATATTATAAATTATAAGTGCTTTCCTTATTAATTTAGCATCATTGCTCTACTTTGATATATTTGTGATGGTTATTTTAGTTGTTTGAAGAGGCATATCAAATTTAAAGTGGGTGACCTCACGATAAAATCGTTGTTGGTAAACCACTTGCTATTATTGCTAACAGTGTCATGCTTCTTGATATGATATTTGCAAGTAATTCAGGACATTGAAATATTATTTCGATTCCACCGGAGGCATCTACAAAGAATAATCCCGTTATACCAGAGTCGACTCTTTATAATATATTCTTGAAAGCTTGTTCTTGTTTAGGATTTAGCTTTGATTGTGCTTCCTCAGACACTTGTTTAGCATTTTGATTCTTAGTAATATACTAACCTTTTTACTTTGTGTTTTAACGCTCTTTTTATGGAATAAATTTATATACCCTAAGATTTTTTTTAACTTGAATAAGAATTTTACTCATATGATGAACTAAGAAATAGTTGGACTGGATTCTTTTTCTAAATAAATAATTAAAAAATTTAATTATTTGGTTTTAACATAAAAAATAATTTAATTCTATGTTGATTCAGATCTTAATATTAGTTCATCTCTTGTTTTGAATATTTAATTTTAATTATAATTTTATCCACCATAAAATTTAATTTTAAAGAGTAAAAGATTGATATGACATTTCACTTTTAGATCTTTATGTTGGTATAATCATTAGTGGTATTGGCTCTTACCAACCATTTTTTCCCCTTTTCTCACACATTTATATTTTTAAATATTTTCTTAGTTATTGTTTAATGACTGGGTATTTTTAATATTACAAGAAAAAATTATTAAGAAAAAATTATTTGAGTAGAAAAATAGTTCAAAAATATAAAAT